GAAGTACAAACACAAACACAAACACACGGATCATTTCAGTCAGCGCTTTATGAAGAATTCTGTTTAAATCTCGAAAAAACGTCTCTTAAAGTAAACACAGGTTATTACACTGAACCCAGACAGACTCCATCAGCGTTAATGCTAACGCACTTCAGGGGAAAGTCACGAGAACTCACCGGGTGATGTCATACACTCATCCGTATGTTCACTGATTCATCATGGGCTTTTGCATATCAAAACCTGTTACATGACACTTAGAATAGAATGGAAAAGAAGAGTTTTATCAGCATAGAAAATAATAAACTATAACCTTTCTTATAGAAAGAAGCCACAGCACCACAAACTCACTATTTACATATTTACAAAATTCTATCATTTCTATAAAAGTACACAGAAATAGTAAAGCAGTGGTAGAGAGGAGTCAGGAAATAGACACGAAGGGAGCGGTTACAGAGAGAAGAACTCCGTTTTATTACTGTAAATATCACCAAGAATAGAGTTTAAACCCAAAAACAAAGAAATGGACAAACACTGGTGATCAGCGATTGGTCATCAGGAACAACTTCACATTAGCACCAAATAACGTGGTGAGGAAAAATCTCATATTCATCTCTTCTGCATGAAGCACGATGTAAAGTAGATGTGTATGAGTTACACACATGTATCTACAGTTCGGTGCAAGAGTCTTAGGCACATGCAAAGAAATGCTGTAGAGCAAAGACGCCTTCAAAAATAATGAAATTAAATGTTTCTACATTAAAAAAATCCTATAAAGAGCAGTAAACAGTAATAAATGAAACAAAGTCAATATTTAATGTGACGATCCTTCACTTTAAAAAATAAACCAGTATCTCAGGTGCAGTGTGTGCAGTTTTATAAGGAAATGAGCTGTAAGTGTTACTGAGCATCTTGCAGAAGCAGCCACAGTTCTTCTGGAGACTTTGACTGTCGACTCGCTTCTTATTTCTGCAGCGAAACCCAGCAGCCTTCATTATGTTTTTATCTGA